AGTTGGAACATCCGTTTTGACTCTGCTGTCAAATCGTTTGACTTCAAGCAGAATCCGGATGAACCCTGTGTTTACAGGAAGTACAGTGGAGATAAGGTTACCTTCTTAGTTCTGTATGTAGATGACATTCTACTCATTGGGAATGATGTAGGATTGCTAACTATGGTGAAAATATGGCTTTTACAACAATTCTCCATGAAAGATCTTGGAGAAGCCTCCTATATACTGGGTCTTCGACGTTATAGAGATAGATCAAAGCGGATAATAGGATTATCCCAATCTGCTTACATTGACAAAATAGTCAAAAGATACAGAATGGAAAATTCCAAGAAAGGAAATGTTCCTTTCAGGCATGGAGTCACTCTCTCCAAGAAGATGTCTCCCAACACTTCTGAGGAGATTGATTGCCAGAAAGACGTTCCCTATGCCTCTGCTGTAGGGAGCAACATGTATTCCATGCTGTGCACTCGTCCTGACATTACTTAGACAGTGAGTGTAGTAAGTAGATTTCAAGCCAACTCAGGGCAGGAGCACTGGACTGCTATGAAAAACATACTTAAATGCCTTCGAAGGACAAAAGAGTTTTGTCTAGTATTCGACGGTAGCTCACTACAGATCCAAGGGTATATAGATGCCGATTTCCAATCGGATATAGATGATAGAAAGTCTACATCTAGATAAGTTTTCACGATAGGATCGTGTGTTGTTTGCTGGAAAAACAACAAACAGGGGTCTACTGTAGACTCCACGACCGAGGTCGAGTACATTGCCGCAAGTGAGGCTGCCAAAGAAGTTGTGTGGATGAAGAAGTTCGTTCACGAGTTGGGAGTAGTTCCGTCTAGCACATCACCCATCCCGTTGTTGTGTGACAACAATGGAGCCATTGCTCAGGCTAAGGAGCCACGAGCCCACTTGAAATCAAAGCACATCGAGAGGAAGTACTACGTACTGTGAGAGATTGTTGGAACAATTATTATTTTCAGAACTCTACCAACAGGACCATGACTAGCAAATAGGCAGGAAATGTAGCAAACTAGGTAAGGGTGGATGCTTACCCCTAAAGAGAAGGAATCGTTAGATGAGCTAAGCTCATTTTCCTCTTCCTTCAAGGCCTTTGCTTTGAACTAGACTGATCAGAAACTAACGCCACTGGATCCTCAATATGCACGCAACTCACATATGATTTGTGGTTGCTGTAGTATATCAAGTGTCCTCATAATCCCCATTGATCCTCTTGTCAGAGTAAAATGATCCCCCCAATAAAATTAGCATATGCCAATGTTCCATAACTGAATGACTTCCTAACACTAGAATCTTCCTTTCCATCCTCTTATCTCTCTTTCATCAAAATCATCAAGGGAGTCTATGTCAAATGGGTATGTATATTCACCATCCTCACTCCTTGCAGAGCATTTTTCCTCTGTCTTCTTCCTCACAACATGTCCTCTTCCTCATCTCTCTCCATTGAGATAGATTCTCTAGATTGGGGTGACAGTGGAACAGGAACTATTGGTCGTGCCACTGTCCCTGCATGTTCTTGGGAGGTTCTAAATTCTAATAAGCTGAGTGATAACTGTGACAAGGATAAAGCTCATGGTCATAATTGAAAGAAAAGAAGAGTAGAGAAAAAAATATGTTATAACTGGAAATTGTCTGAAAATAGATGCAATAGAAAGCACATACACAAAGAGAGGGTTGAGAATCAGTAGTGCCACTAGCTAGAATGAGAGGGATGTTTATTTCATGCTCCTTTTCTTCAACTGTAGAAGCAAATTCTGTAATGTTTAATAATGCAGTTCCAACAACAGGAACGTTGTTCTTTGGCCCTATTTTTTCATTATCAAAATCAAGCAAGAGAAAGCTAGAGAAAGCAATAAGAAGCAAAAGTTTGCTATAAAAATACCTTCTTTCTTGACCAATTAAGCATTCATAAATAAAACGCATGACCATTACTTCAAACTTCAAAGGCTCTTAGAAACCATTGCTTGATCTCTGCAATATTTACAAAGAAACTAAACTAGCAGTGTGGCATTGAGACCAATATAACAAAACTGAAATATAAATGCACTGGGCAGAAGTGTATCTTGGTTCTATTAAGAATAACCAGCTATTGATGCAACATATCCCATAACAGTATCTACGGAATGCGGACTATAGACCATGATCTTAATGACAATAGAAATTAACTACTCCCAAAACGTAACCCATTACAAAGATCAAATATCAACCACAAATTGGAATCAACTTATATTGACATTTTTAAATTCAGGATGCATCACCAATCTGACCATGATTAACGAGCACATATCTACAGTTAATAGAGCTTTCAATGGGTTGGGTCCACCCAAAAGAACCGAAACAACTTAACCAATTATGTCACTTCAAGTTGTGTGGCTTTGTACCAATTAATAATTGGGTCATCCAGTTCTTGCTGCTTTGATATTGGATGTTTGCTTTTCTGAAATCTGAACAATTAAAAGTCAAAGGAAATGCAGAACAGGTGCATCACCTTATCTTCAGCACAGAAAGAAACAATTGTTCTTATACTCCCAACGACATCTTTAGCCACTTGACTTGCTTCCTTGTACATCAACTGCAAGTTAAATCATACAGATGTTAGAAATTTTAGGTGCAACTAGGTCTCCTTCCTTCTAGGTTTTACTTACCAAAGGGTGCTTAATGTATGTGGGACAGTAAGTGTGTGAAATAGACAATGGTAGTAACAAAATTATTGGTAGTCTTGGTCATAGGAACATCAGATTAATGGAACTCTAGAGTATGATTTGTTAAATAATAGAATCCCCAACATTTTAGAAAATAATGCAACCTATTTTCAAAGAAAATAGTACAAGCTATTTCATTTTGACAAATTTATTAGAATATCTAAGATGAAATGTCCAGCACAATTTGTTTCCCTTGTTAATCTACAATACCACATTTTATTATTATTCCAATTTTCTAAATGCAAATGTACTTGTATGCATGTTAAAGGAAAACATTGAATTCCTGGTAATTGGATGCCTAAGAGCCAATTTATATCAGGTCTAATATATAACATTCCAAGATTTCATTGATAAATTATGCATCTAAGATTTAAAAATCTAGAATACCATTAGAGCTTTCTGATATTTTGTTAAAATCATTAAAAATTTTAAAATATTTTCCTTAAAAAACACATGGGATTCTATGATTGGATTATTGACTTACCATTCTAAATAGGATCCTCAATCTAATCAAAATGTGTGGTAACCAAAAAGACAAAAGTCAAAATGGCATACTAACAAGAAGAATTGTTAACAATCCTCAATCTTAATTGCATAAATATACTTCTTAACAATCCATGAAGTTTTATTGACAAATTTCATATTCTTAGTAATTTTCCTTAATTTCTTTAGATTTTTCAAATATTTTAGCGAAATTAGCAAAAACATACACAGATATCAGAATTGTTAACCATGTTGATAAATGGGTGGGTTGGATGGGTTACGTTGGTGAAGTAAAAAATTCTCAACTGTACTTAGCTTGCATAAACAGGTAAACACAAGGCTAAGTTTTCCCATATGATCCATGGTGTCAACAAGGCACCATTTGTTCTAAACTATTAGAAAGAAAAAGCCATCTCATGCCAATGCTCTAGAGCTAGAAGCAGTGTGCTACCTCTTATAAAAAAGAAATGTTATTAATCTTAGTAGAATGGATTATTAATAGAATTCTCAGCTTAATGTACATTATTGTCATATTGTTTTATTTACGTAGAGATTGGATGGATCAGATCAGCAATATGAATCCCTCAAACTGATTCTGGATGAGTGCTGTGAAGTGTGCCACATCAGATCTCTAACAGTCTCTTACATGCATGTTTTAGGAAGGCAAATTGCATGCCAACTGGTTGGCTAATCTTGGACATACCAGACTGGTGGTCAGTTATGGTTTAAGGGATGGAAATTTGTTATATTTATTTTAGTGATTTGGGGAAGGACTACTTTCCATCTTGTGTAGCCCCTAGTTCTATCTGTCTTTCTACTAAAAAAAAGAACCCCAACAACATGAAACGTACCTTAACATGGTTAAGAATAAAGCAAGGTACCATTAAAGTTGGCATCAACACTAACAAAATTTCTTATTTTGTAGCAAGAGATTATCAAATAATAAAGATGTCAATGGAATGCAATAGCAATGAGGGATTATAAGAAAATATTTTGATCATTAAATCAAGAATMTAAAGAAAATTTACCTAAAAAGGCACCATAAGTCTGCCAAATTAAGCTTTGGATCTGTTACGAACATAGAAGTGAAATCAACTAATCAAGAGTTGAGACATGTAAAGTTGCCATCACAATCATGTCTTTTATCAGAGAAGTTGATACGGTTGTGCCCAAAATGATCCCAAAGATAGAAAATACTTTAAGAAGAAAATTGAAGAAGAAACCAACAAAGAAGTAGAGACCACATTTGAATCACATTACGGGAGGTCATGACAAGAATTCTGGCTAGCTCCAGATTCATCTTGAAACCTGATGGGACCCCC